TCTGCCCCTCTCCCCTGCTCATGCTTTCTCTCTCTCTCTCTCTCTCTCTCTCTCTCTCTCTCTCTCAAAACAAACAAAAACAAAACCACAATGTTGTATGGCAAAACCATAGAAAATAGATCAATGGAACAGAACAGGGAAGTCAGAACTCAATCTCAACACAGATGACCAACGGATATCCAACCAAGGTGCCGAGGTAATCCAAAGTAGACAGAATGATCTTTTCAGTAAGTGGTGCCGGAACAATTGGATATTGAAATAGGAAAAAGTGGAAGTAGGAGATGGACTTGAGCTTGTTTAGCAATGCCAGAGGTTGGAAGCTGCTCTGGGCTCCCTGGCTTTCCCCTCCTCTCCCTCAGAGTGATTCCGCTAGATGAGAACCCGTGGGGCAACATGGCCATGTGTCCCTGGGGATGTGCATAGCCTTAAAACTTGTTCTATGAAATGCATACTTTTTAAGCCACACTTTGCTTCAAGTAAACATGATGGTTTCCACTTGAAGAGCTCAGCTTTGGGAAATGCCACCTAGTGAATGGCCCATTACCCAGACTCCAGATCCTATCCTCACTCATTAAAGAAAAACAAACAAACAAACAAACAAATATAAAAACGGCAGGAAATCTGTTGCTTCAAAAAGCATACTGCGGCGTCACTCAAAATATTTATTTAGAAGCCGCTATATCTAGAAGGAACAACAGAGCTGGCATAGCCAGTGTTCTCAGTGGACTGATGAGGAAACCGTGGCCAGAGGCAATGACTCCCTCAGAGATGCACCAGTCACGAGTAACAGTAATGATCGTGATAATGTCAAACGTGTGCATGACACCAACCCCATGCCAGATACATTCCAGGCGCTTTACACATACTGACCTATTTAATCATAACCACCCTGCTGAGTAGGTACAACTGATTGGCATCGATCCCATTTTGCAGATGAGGAAACTGCTGCACAGAGAGTTGAAGTAACTTACCCAAGGTTTCTCTGCCAAAGAGCAGCAGAGCTGGGTTGGGAATGCAGGCATCATTGCTTCAGAGTTTGTGGCCTCTGTCATTAACCCACCACCTTCCCAGGCGATTCAGGGTCTCTGGCTCAGGGCAGCCAGACCCCTCCGCCTGAGACTCCCAGCTCCCACATCCTAGACCCCAGGCCTGCAGATGCTTCTGCGTGCAGTCGGTGTGTTTTCAGTGCTGATAACTCGGCCTGCAGGTGTCGGGGCAGGCCCCACAGGGAGGCTTGCAAGGGAGAAGCAACAATTTACCCGGCAGGCCACGGGAAGTCGAAGGGTTTCCAGGGGATGGAAACAGCATGTGCAAAGGCTCGGAGGTGTCAGAGAACAGGAGTTCTTTGAGAGAGCTTGAAATCGCTGGGGACGGGAAGGGACCCAGAAAGGAGCTGAGGCGACAGTGGTGGCCACATGGAGCACCTTGAATTGCCAAACTAGACAGTATGAGCTTTATTCTGGTAGTTTCTTTCCATGCCAGGGTGTGGCCTCTCCTTAGACTCCTGGACACGGGCTATGCTGGCACTGGCTAGGTCTTCACTGGCCCAACCAGCCTTTTCTCTCAGGCACAGCCACCCACCAGCTCACTTGAATCACATACAGCCTAGAAGTAGGGACACCTCAGTGCTCAGTGGCTGGTGACAAGAAGCAGTGCCAGCAGATGGCCTTTGGTTTGAAGTCTCTGCATTTTCTTTGGCTTTGGTCTTCTAGCACTTAAGGTATTTGAAAGATCAGAAGAAAAGGTGAGGTTCTGAAAAAGACCTGTCTTCATGAAAAACAAGAATTCTGAGCACAGCCTCTGCTTATCAGAGTATGACCGGTGCCAGATGGGCTGGGATGCACTGGCCACAGCTTTATGAACAGGGGGCATGTCAGAGACGAGCAAGCTATGGCAGAGATTCCTTGGGAGGAGCTGAGTGCAGGCCTGCCATCTGCTACTCTGTTCCCGCTGTTACTGTCCTCAGACCTGCCCTGTCCTTCAGGACATGTGCGTGGACAGAATGGATGACAGTGTGAATAAGCTAAGGGAAGGAAATCCTAGCATCGCTCTGGAAGTCCAGCCTCACACCCCATGTGTTTGTAGAGTCAAGGGCACTCAGGGGCACAGGGGATGGGAGTGTGTAGCCTGGTGCAGTGCAGCCTAGTGTCTCACAGATAAGGAGACGGCACCCTTTAGGTGGAGGGGTGCCATTCTCCTTCTCAGTGGGCTCAGCAAAGGGCCACCAGGCTGTCTGTGTCCAGGGCAGAGGTGCCAGATGGCTGGACAGAGGCCCCAAGGTGGGGAAGAAGGAGGAGCAGTGACCAATAAATTAGCTGGGGGCCTCTGAGAGCAGCTCTGCTGGGCCTCGACTCCTAGACTTCCTGCTTGGGTCTGAGACATGAGTTCCATACACTCATCCCAGACACCAAATCATAGTCTTGGGGCAGCAGATCTAACCTCAGCCTGTCGTCTGATTAGGGTGGGTAACCTATACTGACTGGCTCAGGGGATCCATTCCCACAGCCAAGGGAAAAGATAACCAACATCTGTTAGCTCCCACATATGTACCAGGCCCACGCTCAGGATATCACCTCTATCACCCTTATAGCAACCCTGCAAAGTAAGTTTTCATCACCCCTCTCATTTTCTGGCTGAGACAACTGTGATTCCAGAGAGAATAAGTCATTTGCTCAAAGCCCCATAGCTTGCAAGTAAAAGAACCTGAATTTGAATTTGGGTCTAACGCCAAAGCCGAATGGAGCTGTGAAAGGCAGAGACTGACATCCAAGGTCACAGAGCTCTTGATAACTGGGGCTGGTCTCTGACTGCTAAAAATCATGCCTCAACTGTACATATGCCCCAAATGGAGGTCATCAATGGGAAAGTGCAATTCACATCGATGTCCTTATGCTTTTATTATTTGTTGTTTCAAATTTTTATTTAAATTCTAGTTAGTTAACATTTAGTGTAATACTGATTTCAGGAGTAGAATTTAGTGACTCATCACTTACGTGTAACACCCAGTGCTCATCCCAGCAGGTGCTCCCCTTAATGCCCATCACCCATTTAGCCTATTCCCTACCCTCCTCCCTCCATCATTCCTCAGTTAGTTCTCTATAGTTAAGAGTCTCTCATGGTTTCTTTTTTTTCTTTCCCCTACGTTCACCTGTTTTGTTTCTTAAATTCCACATATGAGTGGAATCATACGGTATTTGTCTTTGACTTATTTCGCTTAACATAATACACTCTAGCTCCATCCACATCATTGCAAATGGCAAGGTTTTGTTCTTTTTGATCTCTGAGTAGTATTCCGTTGTATATATAAACCACATCTTCTTTATCCATTCATCAGTTGATGGACATTTGGACTCTTTCCATACTTTGGCTATTGTTGATAGTGCTGCTATAAACATTGGTGTACATGTGCCCCTTCGAATCAGCAGTTTTATCCTTTGGATAAATGCCAAGTAGTGCAATTGCTGGGTCATGGGGTAGCTCTATTTTTAACTTTTTGAGGAACCTCCACGCTGTTTTCCAGAGCAGCTGCACCAGTTTGCATTCCCACCAGCAGTGCAAAAGGGCTCCCCTTTCTCCGCATTCTTGCCAACATCGGTTGTTTCCTGAATAGTTAGTTTTAGCCACTCTGACAGCTGTGAGGTGGTATCTCATTGTGGTTGTGATTTGTATTTCCCTGATGATGAGTGATGTTGAGCATCTTTTCACATGTCTGTTGGCCCTCTGGATGTCTTCTTTGGAAGAGTATCTATTCATGTCTTCTGCCCATTTCTTCACTGAATTATTTGCTTTTTGGGTATTGAGTTTGATAAGCTCTTTAGAGATTTTGGATACTAACCCTTTATCCCGTGTGTCATTTGCAAATATCTTCTCCCATTCTATCAGCTGCCTTTTAGTTTAAAGCCTTAGAACAAACCCCATTCATCTTCCTTTCTTGAGCTGTATTTGGAGGATACTATCTGATGGCAGATGACCCACGGTGAGGGGTGTGGAGGTGGTAATAGACAAAGCCGTGAATGGATCTGAACAATGAAACTCAGAAACCAGAATGACTCAGCTGGAACCACGGAAGCCTGACGAAGGGGATTAATAATGGGCTTCAAGTCCGGGGAGTTTTATTTAGAAAAGAATGGCGGTGACCTAATTCCCCGGGGAAAGAGAAGGACAGTCTCTATAAGTGTAAAGTCAGGGATGTGGTCTGCCTCAGCAAAGGAGTGCCCTGTCTGTCCATGAGCAAAGTGTAGGGGTGAAGAGAACCATGCTGGGTACCATGCTGCCTGGGGTCAGTCCCAGCTCAGCCATTTATAAGATGTGTGACTGTGGTTGCATCACCTAACTTCTCCATGCCTCAGTGTCCTCAAGGGTAAAATGCGGATGAAGGCAGGGGTATTGGGAGGATGAAGTCACCGTGTATGAAGCACCCAGCAAATTCCAACGTGCTTGGTGCCTGCCTCTTACTGTGGGTTGGCCCGGGAAGGTCCTCTGCGGGTCAACAACCTTTAAAAACTGCAAGGATTTCTCTGTCTAAAATGGAGAAGGGACCATCTTGATTTTATGGAAGATTTTGCTACAGGATCACCTCAGTATCCTTATCAGTAAAATGCTTGGTCAGAATCATAGCTTCTGACCTTACTTTCCAATTAGATTGCTTGAGAACTACACAAGGCAGAGGACAACTGAACCCTTTGAAAAGCAGAAAAATGTTGTAGGAAAAGGGGCGGGGATCTAGCATGGTTCGAAAAGCCGCTATGGGTCACTGCTCAAGTCCTTCCCTCACACCTGGAACTCACAGCAGCTTGCTGAGAGTAAGGGTAAGTGTGTCCTTGGAAGATAATTTCAGCATTATTTCTCACACAGGAAAATGCAAGGGGACTTGCGAAGCCCATGTTCTTAAGATCCCCATTATTGTTCTGTTGACATAGAATCAGAACCTGAATACATACAAAAAATGGTGATTTCTAGAACATACGTTTGCCACAATGCATTGAACCGTTTTAATGGCTGGATTGTGCTCTGCAGGGCCAGGTGGTATTGATTTCCGCACGGACTAGAGTGGAGATGGTAATAGACAAACCCGTCGCAAGGCGGTGTAGACACAGGCTCCCCACCCCAGGGCTCTGCAAAGCTGCGGCCGGCAGGGTCCCTCCCTCTCTGAAAGGTGGCTATGGGGATGGCGTGGTCAAAGGATTCCATGCACGTTGGTTGACTGATGCTGATTCCCTTGTGAGACCCAGCTCGACAAGCAAGGGGCATTCGCAGGTCTCAGTCAGCATCCCTTCTGAAGGTGAGTACCAGTTTCCGCTCTGTTTCTCCTTATGGAATGGCTGATGCTTGCTCTGGTGTCTTGCCTTGATGGGGTCCTCGTGATGTTTTGGTAATAGTAGGAGCCATTGGAGTTCAGCTTCAGTGATCTCTGATGACTTCCGTGTAGAACTCTCCGGGGGGAAGCAGGACTGGTTGTAGCTAATATGATCTGCATATAAGTTCTCTATTCACCTAGAAGCCTCCATGAGGGAAGGTGATGTGGTGGTATCGCTTTGCTCTGAGAACTGTGTCCTGCTGGGAATAATGTCACATAAGGAGCCCCATGCAGGAATCAGAAGAGCCAGGCTCTCATTCGCCTGCACCCCTCAATTTCTCACGTGGACTGTGCATGAATTGCCTGACCTTTCTGGGCCTCAGTTTTCCCCTTTATAGTCTGGAAATTATAATAGTACCTCAAAGGGGAATATTACTTACGGTATTTCAGCCCTTTAATAGGATGCCATTTGAGAAGTTGCAGCATTAAAAAATATAAACGGGGCACCTCAGTGGCTCAGTCGGTGAAGTGTCCAACTCTTGATTTTAGCTCAGGTCATGGTCTCACAGTTCATGCGTTTGAGCCCCGCATTGGGCTCTGCACTGAGAGCACAGAGCCCGCTTAAGATTCTCTGTCTCCCTCTCTGTGTCTGCACCTCCCTGCTCGCACATGTTCTCAATCTCTCAATCAATCTCTCTCTCTCTTTCAATCTCTCTCTCTCAAAATAAATAAATAAGTTTAAAATAATAATGATAGCTAAATAAAGTACTTCAAAAGCAGAGATGTGTGTTATTTCACCGTCTCTGTCTCTCGCAGCACCATCACTGACCTGCGCCATTCACCTTACCCAGCGCTCAGTCAGCAAGCTTTACATGGACACCTGCCATGCCCAGGCACTGGGCCGAAACATGAAAGAACACAGCAGGGGAAGGGCCCGAGGAGCTGGTCTAGTCAGAGAAAGAGATCCGTTGCTACATGAGTTAACAGATGTTCTGATGGGATTCTGTACCTGGTAGAGATGTTATCTATGGGTGGGAATGCTAAACTTGGAAGGGTAGACAGTTGCTGTATGGGTAAGGCGGAGGCATTCCCGGGAAAGGGAACAGCACATTCAAGGGCATGGCATCAGCTCTTAGAATCTGGGAGGCTCACCGATCTGCAGGAGCAGAGCCGAGGCGCATGGACCTCTGTCCAGCCCAAGGCAAGGCTGGCGTCATAGCAGGGTTCTTATTAGACAGGGTTTGGGATTCCCAGCTAAGAGATTTGGGCTTGACCCTCAGGGCAGAGGGAGGCCACTGGATGGTCTTAGAGAAGTAACTTAGAACACCACATCCACTTTCCGGAAGGATCACTGGGGCTGTGAGGGATGGAACGGAATGCGGAGGGTTTGGGCACAGTTGAGATTCCGCTGCAGGAATCCAGGCGAACCGGGGGAAGAACGTGCCCCAAGGCCAGTCCTAGCAAGGAGGAAGGGGCGGAATGCATGTGAGGAAGGTTGAGAAACAGCCAACGGGGACATAGGGCAGGCAGCCAGTCAGATGGCAGCTGAGGGTCACCGGCAGGCGTGGAGAGACTAGGTTCCTGAATTGGGTTCCTGGACAGGTGGGGATCCAGGGGTAGGCCTGGGTGGCCCGGGAGGTGACAGCCCCTGTGCTCGGACGTGGAACCAAGAGTTATCAGTGGCGCTGCCCCCAGGCGACTGGCCATGAGAGGAGCCCCAGGCAGAGACGAGGGCTGGACGTGGACCTTTGGAGGCATTGGGTCCACAGGTGGGATTGGGTTGGGTGTCCTGGCAAAGAGACCCTGAGATGGACGTTGGTGGGCAGGAAGCTGATGGGGAAGTGTGTTCAGCTCAACCCCTGCCAGAGAGTGAGGGAGTCAAACTCAGCAGACGGGGAAGGTGAGCTGCCCTCAGTCATACAGGGATCCAGGCCTGGCTCTGGACCTGGAGGGCCCCTCGATTGTTCCATTTCCAGACAGAGGAGGACAGGCAGGCCTATGTGTCCCCACATCAGCCAGCCCCTGCATGCAGGTTGCTCCTGGGGAGGGGTGGGCAGCCTCGGTGGAAAAAGCACCCTCCAAGGTCAATAGCCAACCACACTCCTGGCTGTTGGAGAATGAGCCCCTCAGTTCTGGGTCCTGCACCGCCATCCACTGCCAGTGGATGGAGGGGAGGCCCAAGGCCGGTGGCTCTCACTGCCCCTGGGGCCATCTGGAGACGGCCTGGCACCCAGCCTGGCACCCAGGCCACACTCCCAGACCAGCCAGCTTCAAATCTCCAAGTGTGGGAGACAATGGGCATGAGCAGTTTTTAAATCTCTCTAGGGGATTCCAGTGCACAGCTAAGTTTAAGAGCCATCATCCTGGGGAAGTCCTGGAGATAGAAAGAAGGCTGGGCTCACGTTTCCAGGTGCTCAAGGAAGCTGGAGGAGAACCAGGAGAGGTGGCCTGGAAGGGCCGGGGGCTCAGAGGGAAGTGAGTGGTCGCCTGCAGCAAGAACCTGCGTGTGTCTGGGGGAGGGGTGGCCCCGCTGCCCCCAAAACGTACCTGGGATTGGCTTTTATCGGCTATGCTGAGGTGACAGACATGTGGCCGCTGCTTTTGGAAGAAGAGTTTGTTATTCACCATTCCGGTGCCACCCCATGCAGGGCCACACAGTGCAGGCACCGGGGTCTATCAGGAAGCAGGAGGGAGGGGAGGACAAGGCCTGAGCTTTGTTGTGGTTTCTGCATCAAGGAATGGGCAGGGCAGGGTAGGCAGCTGGAACAAGTTTAGGACTGCATGGTTTGAATGATCTCAGGCCAGCTCTGGGCCGCAGGGGCTGTCTGGGTGTCTGGTATCTGACCTTCCGGTAACTTAGGGTGGGAAGAATATGGGCTTATGTGTGACAGTTGGATAAAGGAAGTCACTGGGGGTGTAGGCTGTGGTTGGTTTGCAAGGGAAAGACATGCTCTCAGGCAGGTTGTTTACTATGACGGGAAGGGGAAGCCTACAGGATCAGTAAGGACCCAAGATGCCAAAGCATCAGTAATACAGAAAATGAGAGGTGTAATTAGTAAGCCTGCTCCGTGGGCCCTTAGCTTGGAGACCATCGCGGGCTGGATTTCAGTACCAGTACCGGTGCAGCTTTCACGACAGCGCACGGTAGCCTTGACCGTGGATTCCTCCTGGCTGCAGAGGAGATGCAAACTCCCGGGTCAGAGGAACTCCACGGGGAGGGGTGGTCCCAGGGATGGACCGGAGGGAGAGCACACTGGCTGGAAGTGGCAGAGGGAAGAAAGGAGAGGGAGGGAAATGAGAAGCAGCACCCCCCTCCCCGCCTCCCCCTCCCAACCCCCTTTCCTCCAACTCTTTCCGCCATGGCTCCAAGTCCAGAGCAGGCTTGGGCTAGGAGACAGAAAACTTGCCATTCACTCAGGTTGATTTTGATTGTTATTTTGAAACTGTCACCCCGAGACTATCTGTCTCCTAAGGTTGAGGCCCCGGGGTGGGGCAGAGAAGAGCACCCCTCGCCAATTAAACTTCATTATTTTTTTATATGTTTAATGTTTATTTATTTTTAAGAGAGAGAGCATGAGTGGGGGAAGGGGAAGAGAGAGAGGGAGACACAGAATCCCAAGCAGGCTCCAGGCTCTGAGCTGTCAGCACAGAGCCCAATGTGGGGCTCAAACTCACAAACCGTGAGATCATGACCTGAGCTGAAGTCAGACACTTAGCCAACTGAGCCACCCAGGCGCCCCCCCCCCAATTAAACTTTAAAGGAACGTAGGAGATAAAAACCAGGTTGTACTTTGACGGCATCATGAATTGTGTGTCTTTAACACGTGTTGTATTTGTGGAGCACCGAGTGTGCAGCTTGGCACATGGAACGCTCCACAAACATTTAGCCGTTACCATCATCAGATCCTAAATAGGATGAAATAGAAAAATACTTCATTTCATCCCTGGCTGGCTTTGTGAGACAGGCTTCCTTCTTCCCCTTCTTGCTGCCAGTAGCACTGAGTTGTGGCCCCGGGAGCCTGTCTCATTGGTGGCACGTGTGCCTGCCAGTGTCACTGTCCCTGTCCTGCTCGTCTGCACATGGAGGGCACACGGTGATGTCCTTCAGAAGAGCTTGACTTGGGGTAAGGTCAGTGGTTCCAACTCTACTCAACACTTTGTGCAGTCGTATCACAGTCCGGGAGGATATTGTGTATGGAAAGGCCTGAAGTCATCGAGCTCACGGGCAATGTGACCAGGAGGTCTGTTTTACAAAGGAAACCTTGCAGATTCAAGAACACGGTCGTCGGGTTATTGTGTGACCCCCTCACTTTACCTGAGAGGGAATTGAAAGTCACCCTGGCCGACAAGATGATGCATTTTTCTCTCCTCCCGAGTGAAATGAGCAGGTGTAAGAACTCTGACCTCGTGCTCTATGAAACACAGGAGGCCCTAACTGGCATTACAAAGGCTCATCTGAGATTGACTTTCCGTAGTCCCTCGTGGTCCTGTGCTAGGCGAGTGATACATATTCTTTACAACACGCCTTCTCGGGGTGCCTGGATGGCTCAGTCGGTTAAGTGGCCCACTCGTGATTTCGGCTCACGTCATGATCTCACGGTCTGTGAGTTCAAGCCCCACATCGGGCTCTGCCCTGGCAGCATGGAACCTGCTTGGGATTCTCTCTCTTTCCCTCTCTCTCTGCCCCTCCCCTGCTTGATCTCTCTTTCTCTCTCTCCAGATAAATAAATGAACATTAAAAAAATTTAAAACATGCCTTCTGTTTTGCACAGCTTCTAACAAAGAAAGTTAGAGGCTGTCCTCTGCTCTTGCCAAGGGGGTCTGTGTGAAGGTGACCAGTGCGTACAAAAGCCACTTCCCATACTCACGTGTTTCTCCTGTAGATACTCTGTACTGGGCACAGTCTCTGCCCTCTAAGTGTGGTGTGAAATGCTGAGTCCTTGGCTCTGTGCAGGGACCAAATGCCCAAGAGCACCGTGGAGGGCCACTGAGGATTCTTTGGCCTGAAGCAATGGAAGAAGATCAGATCCCCTGGGTCGGGAAGCCTCGTGCCCTCGCCACTCCCCCTGCCCCCCGCCAGTGACTGAGGCACCTGTGGTCAGGCTTCATGGATTAGAACTTAGATTCTTGGGCCCAAGACCTATTGTTTAGTCATGGCTCTGTGATGGAATTGTGGCTCCGATGAACCACTTAACCTCTCTGTGCTACAGTGAATATTTCTGTAACATGAGCGTGATCCTGGTCTGTACCTCAGAGGGCTATTGTGGAAATTCAGGGAGATAATCTATGTAATGTGCTTCTCACCACAGTTCATGATAAAGACCACTCTTGTGTGTTGAATGCTTGCAGCGCACAGGGTCCTGTGCTGAGCACTTGATAAATCTATTAGCTCACGTAACCCTCCTGACAACCTGTGAAGAGGCATTAGTGTTATCCCCATTGTACAGACAGGAAGACTGAAGCATAAGCAGTCAGGTTGCCAAGGGCCACAGAGAACTGGGGATCGAGGCAGAATTCAAGGTCAGACGGCTATGGGATTTGGGATTTTGTAGGCACTGAGTTCATGAACTCCATTGTTGGCTAAGCTCGGCCCTCCCTGAGTAAAATGTCGCCCGAGCTCTACTCTGAATATTCCTGCCATTCTCCTTCCCCGCTCCAAACACTGTTAGCATCCCAAGCTAGGGGTCACCCGCCCTGAGGTCAGTAATACCTGCTTTTCTCTGGAGGTAGACACCAGAGCACAGCCACCAGAGTGATGTCCTTGGGAAAGATTCTACACATCTTTCCATTTACGACATCACAGATCACAGGCTATACCAGAGACTTGGCTTGTCAGTAATACTAGAAATCCATTCTGTGCACTCACTGACAGCATGGCAGAAATGCCGGACTGTAGACGCAAGGAAGTGGAGGGTGTGCATCCCATTTGGGTGTGCAGACCCTTGCACAGCTCCTGGATGTCCTCAGAGCCACGTCCAAGTGCCATGGAATGGCTGCAGACACCCATGACCAGCCTCCAGTGTCTGTACTCCCGTGTCTCTAGCATCCCCTGGCCCTACATTCCCACTGCGGTTCTTGTTTCCAGTGAATCTGGGTGAATCAGGCCTCTGCACAGTCGTATGTGCTATTCCTACTCCAGATCTGCCCTTCCAGCTCCTCTCCTTCCACCCTTCCGCAGCTCCAAGGATCTTACCCTGGAGGGTCCCCTCTCTTTAGATGCTAGGGGAAGGGCTTGGCTACTTCCTTCTCTGCACCTCCTGGCTGCCAGGCCTCCGTGTGGGCTTTTCTGTCTTCACATCTCGAACGTGCAGCAACAGCTCTGGCCTCTCTGGCTGCTGGGAGGCGAAATGAGACAATTGTGTGACAAGCCCACGCCACGCCTGGCACATTAATAGGAGCTTAATTGGGTTAATTCCCCTGTCTTCCCACCGCACCTGCCCTCCCCCGACAAGCTTTCTGTGTTTGCTGTTACTGAGACAGCAGGTAAGCTCAAAGAAAAGACAGAATCAACAACAACATATTCACACCAAAAAAGGCATAGCCAAAATTCTACTTATGTGTACATCATTTTTCGTTGTTCCTTGGTCTTTCAAAAAACTTGAGATATAACTCACCTACTGTAAAATCCATCCTTTTAAAGTGGTTTTTAGTGTGTTCACAAAGTTGCAAGGCCATGGCTCTTTTCTAATCCAAAATATTGGAAGCCCATACCTGTGGGCAGTCCCTGACCATCCCAGCTCCCTCTGGCAGTCCCCCCCCCCCATCACCACTAGTCTGCCTTTTGCCCCACCCCCAACCCGGTCTTGTCTCTCACCCCGAGTTCTCACCAAACCCAGAGCTGACATTGGCCTGGAGGTTCCCTCAGGGCGGTGGTGACATCAGAGGAGTTTTGTGAACATAAATTGCTATTTTACACAGAGAGGGCAGTAGGATCGAAGGTCCCTTGAAGATCAGGACCTGGTCATAGTCCTTCTCCAGCCACTTGGCCTGCTCTGTGCTCCAGGGGACCCCGCCTGCTGCACCTTCTTGTGATTCGGGGACTGAGAACTTACCGGGGCCTCTGGCCTCAAGGGCCTCTGTAGGGAGCCAGCCCTGGGAGAACCCTAGAGGGGATTCTGTCCCCGAGGGTGCTCGGGACCCCAGGGACATGCTTCCAGTAGGACCTGACCTGAAGCCGGCTGAGCCGCCCTTGGCCCATCTTGCAAAGTCTCTTCAGGTCTGAACGTGCCTCCTTGCTGGTCTCCTTTCTCTTTCTGAGGAAATAAAGCATGTCAAGAATTTGGCATTGAGCATTTTGCTTTCTCTCCATCAGAACTGCCTCCCATTGGCATTCTCTTCAGCAGAGGCATGGGGAGAGCTTCCTTGGTAAACTGGAGTTGAAAAACAAAGCAGCTCAGGAAGAAGCTGCCTTAATCACCTAGGAACAGCCGCTGCTGTGCTTCAGCAGCGTTAAGACGACTGGCGCTGCTCCCAGTGGCCCAGAAGCCCCTTGTGTAGCTCAGGCTGTAGGGCCCTGCTTGCTTTCCCTGGCCCCGGACCGAGAAGAATCCCCGCCAGCCCCACCACGCTCACCCGCGGGAATCAGGGAAGCTCCAGCCACTACTTTCCCCGTGTGTCCTGGGACAGGACCAGCCTGGGTGGGGTCTCTCCGGCCTGGGGAGCGTCTGGGGACTGGCATCAATGGAGACAGCAGTTTCTTCTGTGCACCTGCTGTGCACCAGGCCCCATAGCCCAAGTGCTATCCGATTGCACTCTCGGGACAAGCTGCAAGGTGGCTGTGGCTGTCCCCGTCCCACAGGTGAAGAGACAGAGATTTCGAGGGGCCACGAGCATGGTTTACAGGGCCACACGACCAGGAAGGAGTGGAGCCCGTTCAGGCTCACCATGATGCCCTCCCAGAGTCCTGGCATTGGTCAGCTCTGATATCCCTGAGTGGTCTTGGTCCCCCTGAATCCCACAGGTCACCACCTCACAGGTGGTTCTGAGAATGGACCGACCTCGTGCGTGGACAATGCCAGACACGTGGGGCTGGTGCTAAACCAGCGTCCGTTCCCTCTCTCGTCCTTTGTTGGTGGGGATCATCCCACTGGTGCTGGAGGGTCTTCTGCACAGAGCTGACACCGCTTGGCCCAGGGGCCCACCCGCAGCCGGATGACTGAAGGCCACATCCATTCATCGGCCTCCTCTTTCTCCCTTCAGGAGAGCACCTGGCCATACCTGTTTGGAGTGATCACTGTCCCTGCCTTGGTCCAGCTGGTGACCCTGCCTTTTCTCCCCGAGAGCCCCCGCTACCTACTCTTTGAGAAGCACGACCAGGCCGGAGCCGAGAAAGGTAGGGGACCCGTGGCCTTTCCTGCATAGCTCCAGCCTGTTCGCCAGGGTCAGCGCTGCAGGGCGCACTGGGATCTGGGGCCATCCCTCTCTGCAGGCACTGTGCTGGGTGCCCCTGGACACCCTGTATTGATTCATCCTCCCGGCAGCCTGCAGCAGGGACACACATCACACAGGGAAGCTGGAAAACCCAAGACAGAGAAGGATAAGACCCAGGTCTGCTCGCTTCTGGGCGGTGTCTGTCTCCCCATTGGTCCCAACCTCAGAGACAGCCTGACTTCTTAGCGGTTTAGGTCTTTCTTGGCTCTCTCCTCACCCCTCCTCTCTTCTTCACTCCCGGGTTCTGCTGTCCTAACATTCCCAAGGAAAGGAAATACGCAAGTGCAGAAGGAGCACCCGTGTCCCGCCAGCACGGGGCTGGGTGCCAGCAGCCTGCGAGGGAGACAGAGCGTGTTCACGTTACAGGAGAGAAACAGGACATCCACGATGGGGCTTGGGACTGGTCTTAGTTCGCTGTCCTTAAAGTCCGTAAAGCTCCTGAACGGTGAGGTGCCGGGTCGGATGCAAAGCATTCAGAATCAGAGGCATTCCCACAGCGCCCCGGAAAGGCAAAACCATTTTGCCCAGACACAGACAACGTAGAATGAACACCCCCGTCTTCTTGTAAAAGGAGACACTGACGGCACCCCCGTTAAGCAGGAGGGGCTGGGTGCACCAGGGCTGCCCTCCCGTCCCCAGCTCTGCCACCTGACCTGGTCTTCTAACCTTCATCTGTGGAAGGAAACAATAGGAACCTCCCTCTGGGCTTGTCATAAGGGTGATGAAATTACATGATATATATAAGGTTTGCAGGAGCATTTGCTGTCATTCTGAGAACTAGGTCCCTTTCCTTATCCGTACCCTGTCCTCTGATCTAAATTTCACTAGTGTCCATGTCCAAGAAAAAAATTGAAAATTACGTAGCCTTTACTTAATACAATTTGTGCAACCCTTTTTAAAATCCACACAGCCTCAGTATTTTCTGAATTAACAAACGAGATATTAACAATTGCGTCCACTTGCCTAGCAGTTTGTGGCTGGGATCCATTTTCTCATTTACGGCATTCCTATAAAAACATGACATCAGGAGATACTGTTATTACCTTCACTGTTTAGGCAAGGGAACTGAGGCTTACAGGGCTGAGGTGATCTGCCCAAGGCTGTGGTTCTTGGTTTTTGGTTTCTAGAGGCCTTTAAAAATATGATTGTGGTGAGGGGGAGCACATGGGTGGCTTAGTCGGTAAGTGTCTGACTCCTGGTTTTGGCTCAGGTCATGATCTCACGGTTCCGTGCATACGGTGGGGGTGGAACTTGAGGCCTGTACCCCGTCAGGGGCCCCTGGCCCTCCCCATCCCAGAGCCGTGAGCATCAGGAAAAGGACTGGAACCAGAGGAGACTTTCCTCCCACCCCACTCACGCTCAGAGGGGCATCAGGGGGTCGTGTCCCAGGGGACTTCCCATGGGGCCCGTGGGGAGACCAGCCATCCAGAAGTCAGGCTGCAGAGGAGGCGGCTGATTGTCAGATGGGGAAGGCTCTGGAGCGACACTAATGTGGCTGAGAAAGAGCCGGGGGATCCTAGTGCCAAAAGCAGCCAGGCTGGGGGTCGGTGGAAGGTGACGATTCCTCCGGTCCCATCCCTCCTGGCTTCGTCGGCAAGAACCCGCAGGAAATGCATCAGTTACGTACGGTTGG